AAAAAAAAAAAAAACCCCCTTCCCGTTCTCTTTTAAAAAAAAAAAAAAAAGCTTGACAGTGGATGGAACCACCACAGAGGGTGTAGCTGAGAAGAAGGTTCTGAGAACTAAACAAGGGACTTCCACAGTGGAGGTTTGGGAGAAGAGGAGCCAGCAAAGGAGACAGAGGAAGAGTGGCCTATGAGGTAGGAGGAAAACCTGGAAAATCTGAAATCAAAAGCAGCCGTGTGAAAGGACATTTTAAGGAGGAGGAAATAAGCAACTATGTAAAATATTGCTGAGCAATGACTGTGCCATTTAGCCACAGAGAGAACATTGGTGACCCTGACAAGAATATTTTTTGGTGGATAGAACTGAAAAAGCCTTACTGGAATATTTAAAAGACAATGGGAAGATAGAAATGGAGACAGCAAATGCAGATAATTCTTTCAAAGAATTTAGCTCCATACGGGAGGGAAGACACACGGCATGGAGGTGGAGAAGAGACAGGAAGCTGGGGCGGCATGGGGACAAGGAGAAGGGATGGGGGAGGAGCAGCACGGGTGGAACTGAAGGGACACCACAGCCAGTCAAATGGGAGGTACGTGTGGCAGGAACAAGGAGGCCCAGGGTGTATCACGAGGTGTGAGTTACAGCTGTTAACACAGATCAGCAAGGTCAGAAGAAATAGGAGACAGAAAACGATCATGCTGTTTCCAGATACGTCTCTGTCTCCTGCCTCTGACCAGGGCTGTTCTGACTGGGAAAAAAAATAATATTTTATAAAAAACTGGGAAAGACAGAATATGGACTAGGTATTAAAAGATACTGTGTTATTAATTTTGTTGAGTGTCACAATAAAATTGTGGTTATGTTAAAACAAGAAGTTCTTATGTGTTAGAGACGCCTACTGAGATATTTGCAGGTGAAATGATATAACTGGGATTTGTGGCAAACAACTCTAACAGGAAACAGAGGAAGTGAGGGCACTGGAAAACACAAGAACAGTACTTTGACAACTTCACAGCACTTGACAAGCCCTGGGAATGAGCAGTCGGAACAAATACTGAGAGAAAAAATGCAGAGGCAAAGATAGAGGTGTAATGAATGAGGGCACCAGGTCTGAAGAATACAGTTGTTCCTGTTATCCATGGGCGACTGATTCCAGGACCTTCCCCAGATACCAAAATCCCCAGATGCTCAAGTCCCTGTTATAAAATGGCATAGTATTCACATATGACCTACACACATTCTCCCATATTCTTTAAATCATCTCTAGATTACTTATAATACCTAAGACAATGTAAATGTTACATAAATAGTTCTACTGTATTCTTTAGGGAATAATGACCAGAACAAAAAGTCTGTACACGCTCAGTAAAGATGCAATTTTTTTTCCTGAATCTTTCTGATCCACTGTTGGTTAAATCTACGGATGCAGAACTCATGGATATAGAGGACCTACTGTATTCCCTGTGAAAACTGTCACCCTTAGAACAGGCTTGTTTGCCTGGGGGGACCAGCTGGGGGTCTGATCCCCGGATGGGACACTGTGGAACACAAGCTGTCAAAGTTGAACGAAGGAAACCCACTCACAGCTCTGAATGCAGAAGGTATAAGTGGCACTCACCTGAAGCTGGGCTGTCAGGAGCCCAGGCGTCCTCCCTTTCCTCAGCAGACAGTCCTCTCTGGGCAAGAAGGGGCCACAGGAGGCAGAACAAGAACAAAAAATGTTCAGGACAGTCACTAGAAGTCCTCAAGCTCCAGCAGGGTAGCGCCTCCTCTTCCTTAAAGGCATCAGGAATGGACCTGCCACTGGAGAAAAGAATTGTGGGCAGCTTCCTGGGAACAGAGCTGGGATGTAGGCTGAGAACACAGCCTGCCCTGACATGCTGTTGAGACTGTATGTGAGGGGATGCTCTCTCTGCCTCTGTCATTAATAATGAAAAGTAATATGTACTTACTGAGCTCTTACTATACACCAGAGAGTGTTCTTGGCACTACATGAGTTTTACCTCGTTCTGTCCTTACAACCCAATCAAGTAGATGCTATTATCCTCATTTTACAGATGAGAAAATTGAGCCACCATCTCTTGCCCAACATGACAGCTAAAAAGTGACAGAGCCTGGAGAAAATCTGGCTGCGGAAACCAGGCTCTCTAACAGTAAAAGCAATCAATGATGGCGAACCTTTGTCGGTTGTCAGGATTGTGTGTGTCCAGATTGTGTAACTAATTAAGATTAGTTAGGAGGTGGTGAGTGCTGAATCTGGGTGATGGGACTATGGAGTTCTGTCTACTTAACGGTTGTTTGAAATTTCTCCATAATAAAAAATTAAAATGGAACTTAACATTCCAAAGCCTCGCCACACCACAGACCTGGGAATCCGTGATTCTTGTGGTCAGTGACATCCTCAGGACCTCTGAAAAACTTGCCCAGTGGGCCCCCGCCTGACCTCCTCCTCCAAGGCCCGACCCGGGGGCGACCAGCCAAAGTGAGACCCTAAGATCGCGCCAAAATGGCCACCCACTCCCAGTCCAACCCGGGCTTGTCTGGCCAAGACAGCCCGCTCCAGCAAAGCCGAGGGGCAACTGGGCCCGAAGACGGCCAGCCCCCAACCGACGAAAATCTCGGGGGCACACGGCCTCACGGGCGGTCCCCACCCCGCCATCTGGGAAGTATCAGGCTCCCAACAGCCTACTTACTCAACCCCCCAAACCACGAGCGACCCCCTGTCCCAATACCGCGACTTCAGCCACGGCTGAACCTGTCCCCACCCCCGAGAACCCTAGGGCAGAAGGCCCGGGCCCCGCACCCACCATTAGCCGGTTTCACGGCTGAGCTTCACCCAACTCTCTCCCTGATGAGCGCCCACACCCCCAAAATGAGACATCCGGGAGGGCACGGCCTGAGCCATGCCAGCGCGTCCCCCAGCTACCCTCTCCCCCGCGCCATCCCCAGCCTCAGACTACGGACCAGCCCTTCAGGCCCTTCCCTTCCGCGCAGAAAAGGGCACGGCTGGGGCAAGGGTCCCGCGGAAGCCTCACTCACCAGGGCCACCAAAGAACAAGGGGTCCCCCCCGCCACCAGCTGGGGAATCTCCTCCAGGAGGGCGTTGGGACTACACTACCCAGAATCCTCGGCATGGCGCCGGGGGCAGCTCCCAGGATGCTCGGCGCAACCAGTACCGCGCAGACGACCTGGAGAACGACCGCTGTGGCACCAGGATTCCTCCTCTTTTTTCTTAAAACTACGTGCATAAAACATGGAGAGGCTTCCACATGAAGCCCCTCGCGCGGCTTTGACCCTCAACGCCTCTGTCTCAGAGACTACGAACACTACACTCCCCAGGGATCCCTGTCAGTGACTTCCGGCGTCGGGCCTGCCCATCGGCGCGCAGAAATGACGTGTCAGCGGCGCCTCTGTTCGGCTTCTGGGGTTGGCCGGAGTCTGCGGCCACCGGACCGAAGTTCTTACCCGGCTGGTCACTGTCGCGGCGACCTTCGATGTCTCCTGCTCCAGCCACGGGGTTGGAAACCTACTCCCCGTATTGCGAGAGTGCCGGGCCGGTGTAGTCTCGTCCAGCACATATGCCCTTTAAACTCCATTTAAAGCCGCGGAGAGGCCGAGCAGTCTTCCCGAGGTCTCACGAGGTGACCCGGGTTCTGAGCCCTCGCCCGCAGTCCTTACAGCCCGCTGCGGGTGTCCTGAGATCTTTTAACTGTTATTGGAGTCCACGAAGTTATGGGAAATGCTCAACTCCTGGGGGACAGGAGCCTCACTCCTTAGCCCAGAGCTTGGGGCCGAGCCCGCTGTTGGCCTGGCTCTCTGGGTCTTTGTTCGGGATTCGGGTTGAGAACAGGGCCTCGCTGGTGCCATCTGGGACGCTTCAACTGAGAAGCTCAAGAGGAAGCCCAATTTCACTCATAAGGGGCCTTTCCACCCCGGGCACCCTCTCAATTTTCTTTACCTTCCTCTTATGTGCTTTCTGAAACTTTGTCCTTCTCTAGGAACACCAAGAAAATGACCACGTGGCCCAGAGAGTCAAGGAGAGATAAGAATATCTTAAAATTCCTTCTTAGCTCTCAAAGGATGAATCCATTTTCTTCTCTTGCCCTGAGGCTTTGCTGTGCTTCCTGATTTCAGTTCAGTCCTTGCCCAGTCTTACTTGGATTAATCCCTCTGCATACCTCTCTGCTCCACCCATGACTCAGTCATTCACCATGAAATGAGCTGTTAATTCACATAGAAGTTCAAAATAACAATGCAGCGATGCCCATATGTTTAAGTGTCCAGTGATGCTTGCTATTTAGGAATGGCTAATATCTCATGGGCCTGGAGAAAAGAGACCGAGGAAGACTTCCAGGATGAGGGGCTGCCAGACCTGCCCTGAGGAAGCAGGCAAGGTAAGGAGTTGGAGAAAGACAGCCATGGGAAGAGAGCAGGAAGTGTGATCAGAAACTCAGGGTTGAGTCGACCCAGGGGCGCACTCGGGAGAGTGCGGCGCTGAGAGCGCAGTGACGCCCCCGCCGCGGGTTCGGATCCTATATAGGGATGACTGGTGCGCTCACTGGCTGAGCGCGGTGCAGGCGACACCACACCAAGGGTTGTGATCCCCTTACTGGTCACGAAAAAAACAAAAAAAGAAAAAGAAACTCAGGGTCTGAGCCATAGGGTCTGAGCCACTGGGCATACTGTCACAACCACAGTGAGAGAGGTTTTCAGTAATAAATGGTCTTGCATTGGGCTGACTTTCCATGCATATAGACAAGGATACCATCTAGATGTCCACATGTGGCATACAGTGTTTGGTTTGGCCAGCCTTCTGTTTCGTATTTGAAAGATTTCTCAGCATTTAATTTTTAGGAATTTCCATCTGGACATCTGGATTGCCTGCTTTCTAGAAACACTCCTTGCTTCTTTCTCTGTTTCTCTCTCACTCATGGTACTTCCTATCCCACACCTCATCTAGAATACCTTGCTTGCTCCTCTTCCCTTAGCTCTGCAAATCCTGCCTGTCCTTCAAGAGCAAATTCGTAGCTCTCTTTCATGTAACCTTCCCTGATCACTCTATCCTATGATGACTTTCTGAGATTCCTCTGACCCTGCTGTATCTGGGAGCTTTTAAAAATACAACACCTGAACATCACCCCAAGAAATTATGAGTTTGGGGTGGAGCCCTAGCATCCATTCATAACAAAGCTGCTTTTTCCCTAAGAAGGAAAAGTGTCATGTAATGTTGAGGAGAGATCTGGTTTTGGAAAATCAGAAGTTTAATTGTTGGTCAGTTGTTGCTGTTTCTGAACCATATACCTGGGTAGGTCATTTAACTCAGTGCTTTTAGGGCACATGCATACACATCACCTGGGATCTTACAAACATGCAAATTCTGAATCAGCACGTCTGGGGGAGCCCAAGCATCAGCATTTCTTTTTTTTTTTTTTTTTCCTTTTTGTCCTTTTTCGTGACCGGTAACGGGATCGCAACCCTCGGTGTCGCGCCCGCACCGCGCTCAACCAGTGAGCGGACCGGTCTCCATATGGGATCCGAACCCTTGTCAGGAGCGCCGCTGCGCTCCCAAGTGCCGCACTCTACCGAGTGCGCCACCGGGCCGGCCCCCAAGCATCAGCATTTCTAACAAACTTCCAGATGATGGTGATGCTGCTTGTCCTCAGACCACACTGCTGGGTAGCAAGGATTTAAGCCAATCAGGGGCTTATATCCTTATATCTAATAGAGCTAAATTAAAGAATCCCCAAATTCCTAAAACTCAGAAAAACTGATTCTATATTTATGTTTTATTTTCATGTATCATTTTCTTAATAAAGAACTTCAAGTTTTGGAACTCTTTCTGCTTGTAAACTTCATAACAGTCAAGCTAGGATCTAGACAGTAGACTATTGATGCTTGTTGGATACAGACTGGGGTTAATGGTCTTGAAATGCAAGTCCCAAGGTTATAGGCAAAAACAGGATCTGGACATTTTACCTATCTTCCCCAAAGCAGCCTTCTTGCTCCGTCATTTTGAATCATATGCAGGGATGTATTCAGCATAATGGGTTTTTGTGGTGTTTGGGGATGTGGCGGTGGATTTCATCTAAGATGTGTTGAGGACTGTCTTCCTGGCTTGGAGTGGCTGCCTTCTTGCAGTGTCTTCACATGGTGGAAAGAAATGTACCAAGGTCTGGTGCCTCTTATAACAGCACTAATCCATCCCATCATGAGGGGCCCACCCTCATGACCTCATCTAAACTTAATTACCTCCACAAAGTCCCATTTTTAAATATCTCCACATTGGGGGTTAGGCTTCTACATATGCATTTTGAGGGATCATAATTCATTCCAAAGCACTGTTCCTCCCTTTGAGACTTTCATCTTTACCCCAGGAAGAGGTTTCTGGCATACTTTGTCTCCTTTTTCCACCAGGAAATTGCCCTGTCTCTCACTGGGTTTGCCTTCTCTAGCTTACACAGTCTTTTTCTGTTCATGCGCTTCTTTCTGTCTGCCTGACCTTAAGGGAGCACCAACCCTTTGTACAAAAGGCTGACCAAGAAATTGTGTGTTGAGTATCAGAGGGATCCAGTAAATACCTTTTCTCTGTCCCACCTGTATTCTCGTATTCTGATCTTACAGGTTTGACTTGGGTGATCATGGGCAAATTATTGCCCTCTAGAGGTTGGTCAAGATCATGGTTTTCAGTGCATGAAATATAAAAAAGCAAAACTTTACTAATGTGACCTGTAAGGCGACAAGAAGCCCCACTTTCTTGGTGTGTGCCATAGTTTTAACTTTTATATACATTATAAACCCCACCTTAACAGCGTTAGCTTTAAAGAGTCAGTTGCATTATAAGGAAATTGAGAAGAAAAAATAAATCTTCTATCTTTACCATATCCAGTGCTCTTCATTCCTTTCCGTAGATGTGAGTTTCCATCTGGTATTAATTTCCTGTTGCTTCACCATCCCCAAGTCTTCTCAGCCTCCATACCTCAGTGAGGCCTAGTATGCTCTGGCCCCACCAACCTGTATCATGGTCAGGAAATTGTCCCCAAGCAGTTAGCCAGCGCAAATGTGGGACCCACTTTATGAGTTTCCCATCTCTCAGAGGTCACAGTTTGTTTTGTTTTGTTTTGTTTTTGTTTGTTTGTTTTGGCAGCTGGCTGGTACAGGGATCAAACCCTAGACTTTGGTGTTATCAGCACCATGCTCTAACCAACTAAGCTAAACAGCCAGCCCTGAGTGACATTGGACCCTGTGGTCCAAAGCCTGAAAGTAGTTGTCTCATACTTTCTCCAGTGTTTTGGTTATTTATGATGGGAATGACAGTCTGGTACCAATTACCCCATTATGGCCAGCAAAGCAAGGTCATTTGGTAACTACTTTAAATCACAAAGTTTATATTTATTTTTCTGACCGTCCTAATTCTAGAACTAATCCTTATATAGGTAACTAATTTATTAGAATTAATAAGGCCACAGGTGCATAAGGAACTTTGAGTGTTGAATTTGTCACCTTTCCTCTGCAATACCTACCTGTGAGGTACCTTTTATGTGGTCATCCTACAAAAAAATCATCAGCTGCATCTGCGATATGACTTATTCTACAAAAGGTTAATTTATGTTTCTGCTTGACTTACAAAAATATACCTCATAGTTTGATGATATTCAGTAACCAGTTTTGAGGTAAAAATAAAATTAGCTTAATGGGTTAAAATTTTAAAAGGTGCGTGATTGGTATTACTATTATCCTTGGAAATACAAAATGAATATTTTAATTATGAGGTATTTTAGCTTTTCTGTAAAGCCTTGTAACATAATTGTGCTGATATTAGATTATAGGACATAACTAATTACACTCCTTACATTCAACTTTTTATTTATTTTATTTTATTTTATTTATTTATTTTTAAAGATGACCGGCAAGGGGATCTTAACCCTTGACTTGGTGTTGTCAGCACGATGCTCTCCCAAGTGAGCAACCGGCCATCCCTATATAGGATCCGAACCCGTGGCCTTGGTGTTATCAGCACCGCACTCTCCCACATGAGCCACCGGCCGGCCCTTTATATGACAACTTTTAAAGAACAGCGTCCTTCTTTTTGTTGTTTTCTTCAGCGCTCACATGCAGTGAAATTGCGTGAGGCTCGGGGAGGACGGGCCGCAAGAGCATTTTTACCAAGTTGGTCTAAAAACGAAACAGGATCCAAACATGGCCCCTACACTGACAGTTTCAGGAAATTTCAAAATCTGAGCAGCAATTTGAATTGTTTCTTGAAAAACGAACACAGAGTCTGTGCGGGGTGCGGTCAGCGGGTCGAGGGCCGGGCTGTGTGCCCCGCGGGCCGGGTGCAGCCGGGGCACCGAGTCCCGGAGCCGTGTGCTCCGGCGGCTGCTCGAGGTCCTCGCTCGGGGACTGGCGCTCCCCGCGCCCTTCGGAGCGGTGGGCAGGAGCCGGGCCCA